GCAATTCCTTCTGACTCGTTCAACCTCCGGTATTGCTGTGGAAAATATGCATCTGGGGAACAGTTTCATGGAAAAATGCTTAAGTGACTTGATTTACATTGTAACCTGCCCCTTAAAACTATATTAAAGACCTAGTAATATCCTACAAAGCACTGAACAGACAGAAGGTAGTAAATGAGCATAGCCTTGATTAGATTTGAACCAACGATCCTGAAGTAAAAGTTTAAGGCATAAAACTGTTCAGCAATCCACCCACCATATGGTTTGCTTCAGTGTAGTCACGTGTGCTTCGTCTTTGCTTTCTTATTTGAAGATATTGATTTTAGAGGAATAATCACCCTAAGCAATTTGTTTTAATACACCACTTTTATTAAGGCTACATTACATTTGCAGCAACCATGCATCTTTTTCTTGGTGTTTTTTTTTAAGATTTCCAAAAGCTTTTTAAAAGAAAATATATAATCTATGGTTCAAAAGTCTGATATTCTCAGGGTTTTTTCATCTCCCTCCGAGGAATGACTCTGCTGAGTGTAAATGAATAAGCAGTAGCTTTGCAAGGGGATAATAAATACCAAGGCACACATTAAATGAAGTTGCAAGGATTATGATGAGGCCAGCCTTTGCCCAAGTTAAAAATATATATATTGTTCAGCCTGGAGACCCAGGGAGATCTTAGAGCAGCTCCAGTGCCCAAAGGGGCTACAAGAAACCTGGAGAAGGGCTTTGGACAAGGGCCTGTAGGGACAGGACAAGGGGGATGGCTTTAACCTGCCAGAGGGGAGATTGAGATGAGCTCTGAGGCAGAAGCTCTTCCCTGTGAAGGTGCTGAGGCACTGGCACAGGGTGCCCAGAGAAGCTGTGGCTGCCCCATCCCTGGCAGTGTTCAAGGCCAGGTTGGACACAGGGGCTTGGAGCAACCTGCTCTAGTGGAAGGTGTCCCTGCCCGTGGCAGGGGTTGGGACTGGATGAGCTTTAAGGTCCCTCCAACCCAAACCATTCTATCTTAATCCTGTTTTGTACCAAGCCCTAATTCAAGTAAAAGCTATCACAAATAACCCAAACGTCACTCAAATGCTGTTTCATTGTAGCTTCTTACTCTGCTGTGGTTGTCTGGCCCCATCCAGGCATAGGGATGCTCACCCTGCTCCTGAAGCTGGATCTGCAGCAGTTCTTCAGAGGCCTGAGCACGATGGATGTAGATGGCTGTCAGTTCCAGAAAGCATTGCTCTGGCTGGGAAGTGGTGTGGTTTGGTTGCTATGGTTGAGGATTGAGACACAAAACTTTTGGCTTTCGGGGCTTAGTTGTGGTGTGGCTTTGCTCCAAGTGCTTCCATGTACCTCTATTCCCATCCACCATTAATCCTCACTTTCGATTTAAGTAGGAAAGTTTTGAAAGTGATTTGAATCTCTTGAATGGCAATGGATAGGCAAGTGTTGTGTTTAATTTATGGGATGGCATTTTGTAGAGAAATAGTCCTCTAACATTACGCATCCTCTGGGTCAGCAATGCTGGTGTCTTGGGAAGATGGTGGGAATCTAATTATTCCAAAATAGCAACTTTTAAGAGGTGAGGAAATGACTACGCCAAAACTATTGTATGCCATCTGCCTGCTAAAATACTTATAGAAAGCATGTTTCCTGGCATATAACTTCCCAGACATATGTCTATTGCATCATTCACAATTAAGTTAAATCACCCTTAAATACTTGGCCACACTCCCAGTCTATGTGAACAAACCTTCATCACCGTACTGTTTGAAATGTGGACTCTTGATCTTGTAAATGTTTAGTTAAAATTGGCTCAGGAGTTGCTAACCTCATACAGCTGATACAGGCTGAGATATTTCAAGTGCATGTTTCTTATTTTGGTGTTTAAGTTTTCCACCAGACGAATTTGTTAGGGTCTGAAAGCAGAAAATCATTTGAGTCACTTTAACCAGAGGTTTAAGTGGAAAGTCCTATCAGTGAGAAAGGGTGTTATCTTCTGCTCACTAAATAAACAGGAGGACATAACTGAAGAGCCTGGTTCCAGCTGAATATATGGAATATGCTTGGAGGTGTGTACACAGATACACACACCCCCTAACCAAAGAGCTTGCCCACTTCCCAGCATCTCTGAAACATGCCCGCAAATGGACATCAGGCCACAAAGCCTGACGTGCTCCTGGTTAGGCTGGGTCCAAAGAATAGTCTGAATAAGTAACAGATTCTGGGTTCTTTTGGCTCTTCATTTGAGGATATGTCAGATTTAACTGTTGTGCCATGCTTAGCTGAGTCATTGTCCTAAAACGAGTGCTAAGGCATTATCTGACATACTCAGCGCACACAGTAGGCATGAGAATAATGAAACCCTACATCTTTGACACCAGGAATGTCATTTAAACACAGCCTGACTTCCAGTGGAAACCAAACCCGGGAGCTTCCCATGCTTGGTGTCCGGCAGACCCCACCAACGCCTATTTTTAGTCCAGCTCTCTATTTTTAGTCTGGTTTTGAAAGGTGAAATATAACCGGCAGCCAAACCCGGATGAGCCTCGTGGATTCTTTCACTCAGGAGCCCAGAGCAGCGCTGGAGGAGAATGGCAGGAAGGCTGCAGGGCAGAGGGGAGAGACTCTGGTGCAGGCAGGGCAGGAATTGCAGGCAGGATGGGCAGGGGACCGGCCACCGGTGGGGACCCACCATGGGGCTGCTCTCCTGCAGGTCCCATGCAAACAAGGGGCTCAGCACCAGCTGGCTTGGTTTATTCTTTTGCTATAGTTCACTTATTTTTAGTGCTGAAATGCCATTTCTAAGCATTTCTAAGATTTCTGCCTTCACTGGACAAGAGTGGTCCCAGTCCCAGAGGCAGCTCCATAGCTTTTCTTGGTGCTTTCAGTGTGATGGGATGTTAGTTCTCACCAGATGGTCTTCATCTGATGTGGCTGATACTTTGAAAATTCAACTCTATTATTTTTAGTTGCATTATTCAACCCAAATTCTCACTTTAATAGGAAAAATATTAATAATAATCTGTTATTTAAATAGGACCTTTGTCTCGCTCTGCTTTTCTCATTTCATCTTTGGAATACATTTTCTAAGCTGATACACATGCAAACTGTGTTATGTACCGAGTCGTGCACTTCCCAGTGTCAGTGAGTGTTTGAGACAGGAAAAAAGACAACATGCTGGTGGGAGCTGCTGGAGACAGCCGGGCTGTGTCCACACTCAGGTTTTACACTGTGTTGTAGACCGTATTTTACTGGGATATTTTGGACTTTAACAGAGCTGTATAGCTTTGTCATTCAGTAATAGATTACTGCACATAATAGAAGTCTTTATATAGATGTTGGAGCATATTTCTTAGCTACAGATGTTTCCTTCCAAGAGTTGTTTCCTGCCATAGAATCACAGAATGCTTTGAGTTGGAAGGGACCTTTAAACATGATCTCCTTCAACCCCTGGCCTATGTTAAAAACAAAAGCTACTGGCATTTTGTCATACCAAGAAACGTGTATACTAGAAATGTTATTGGGGGATTTCTTTGTGCATGATACTACCCCATCTTTCCTTCTGCCTTTTATTCCTGTTCTGTCTGTAGAAATGTACTAGGGGCATCCACAAACAGATAATACATTGAGCAATTCTTAATTGTCTTTCCTTCCATAGCTGTTTTCCTGGCCACCTCATTTTTGGATTTCCTGTGACTCCTTTAGTGACTGCACCATTTAGCTGCAAAAGAACAGGAAGAATCCAGGCTTAAGTAGTTTCGTTTCCCAAGTGATCATATCTTTTCTTTATTATCCCCAAAAGCCAAAATTGTGAAATTATTATTAAGACATTTCTGTTGTCTTTGGTGTCTCCAGTCATAAAAATCAAGAAATAAAAACACAAAAGTATTTTTAAATTTAAAAAATAGATTTAAATCTCTCTCTCTCTCTCTCTCTATATATATACTTAATCAGTGCTTTTGGAGATCCTCATGTCTCTTTAAGGCCATGTTAGGGTGTATTGACTCAGCTCCATTTGCTGCCTGCTGCAGAGCATCCCTCATCCTTCCAAGTCCAGCGCTGGTCCCACATATGTCTGCAGTGCAGCCCTGGAGAACCAGAGCCAGGACCAACTGTTCCCACTTGGGAACAGTTCAGCCTGAGAGTAAGATGTAGGTCAGTATTTCTATACTGTTTGTAATGTCTCTATAATGTGTTACTAATGGAAATGAGCTCTAGGATGCTACTAGTCTCGAGTCCCTCTTCTGCTCCAGATCTTATGCAGAAGCTTCTGCCTTTGGGTTTTTCTCTCCCTCAGACCTTCTCTAAACCATTTCATTCTCTGCTTGACCAAAGTCAATTTAGTGAAGCTAATGGAACTCCTTCTCTTCAGGTCAGTGATGATTTCACATCCTTGAGTTCCTTGCTTAATTCACTGAGAAAAACTGTGATTCTGCAGTCAGCTTTCGGAGTTTCCCCCTTGCCACTGGCACAGCACAGGGCTGGACCAGGGGGTTCTCCACTTTTCTGCTCTCATCAGATTGTGTTTACTTTGCTTTGAGGGCAGTTTAGGAGCAGGCTCTGCTGTAATCCTTCCCTTCAGCTGGAACGTGCTGCAACCCTGCCTTCCCTTTAACAGGAAAGTTAGTGGCTTTCAGGAAAGAGTTAAGCCCAAGCGAGGCTTTGGGATCCTTTGCTGGGGAGAGGGTTGCTCTTTTGTTTGTTTTGAAGCGCTGGCAGGGAAGTGGGGAGGAGAAAATTACCTAAGAGATAGTGAGGTTGCCATGAACTACATAAAACTGTGAAAGGAGAAACTCCACCTCAGTCTTGAACCATAAGCACAACCCCTGAAGAGAAACCCACCCCACAAGTGAGTGATCTCAAAGGCTTGAACTAAACCCAAGCAGCTACATGAGCTCAGAGCTGCTGCAGGACTGAAAGCGCAAGAGCTGTCACTGCCAGATCCAGTTGTGGTGGGAGCTGCGAGC